AAGTACTATAATTTTTAGTTAATGTTGATAATTTCTAATAATTTACTATAAATCACTATAAATTATTATAAATTATGTAATTTAATAATGTTTCAAGATAAAGTTTGTTAATGTTAATTTATAATGAATGTTAAAATATAAATATAAGTAATTAGGTTATTTTTGAGTCGTAACATTTGCCTCCCCTTCAAAATATGAGCTCCTGCGAATACCAAATTTAATTCCACCATTCCTTAACTTTTTCAGTTAATTGTTGTAAATCTTTATAGTCTAAACGTCCAAGTTTCAAGAATGTTCCTCTGGGTGTTTCAAGGAGGAACTCAGGACTTGCTGAAAACGTTTCACTCAACCATTCCGCTATCCTAAGTCGCATTAATTTGGTCTTGAATACGGGCTTTTCTCCTTTCGCGATCACGTATTCTAGCTTGTCTAATTGCGTTAGGTCTTCCGTCATTTGACTTATCTGTGTACCAATGAGCGTTAGGCAGTATAGTTTTTGTCCATCGCTCTGCTGTCTTCTCGCATATTTATTCCACTCCTCTTGGTATTTCTCCATTTTGAGTTTTGGGTCGGTTTTTGTGTTAGATTTTTCTTTTTGCTTTTTATTCTTTTTTATCTGCTTTTTAGTGTTTTTAAGTATTTTATTAATTTCTTCTATTTTTCGTTCTTTTTGTTGTTGTTCATTGATCGGTGTCGATAATTCTTCCGGAAATATTAAAGCTTGTAAGGGGGTGTTCGCTAATTGCGAGGGTGAAAAGTCGAGCTGATCGCTCAATTCTAGTGTTGGTTGTGTGGTATTTTCTATCATTTCACCGGCTAATTGCCGAAAGACTTCTTCGAAATTGTGGGTGGGTGTTGTCATTTCGTCGGCTCCGTTCATTTCGTTAGTTTCGTTGTTTTGTTGTTTCCGTTTTATTATCGTTATCGTTATTGTCCAACATTTATTTGTAATTTTAATTTTCATTGACGTCAGATCTGGAAATCATATGATTTCTATTTTTCCGATTGGTTCGTTTTTTATTAAACTTTATTTTATTTGTTCGTTTGTTGTTTATTTTTTTATTTATTTTATTTTATTTGTTTATATTCGTTTAAATTCTTTGTTGATGTCGGTATTATTATGAATGGGGTCGTTTTTGTGGTTCCTTCTCCTTCTTCATTTGAGGATTCGTCCTCGAATTCCTCATTTTCTTCTTTTCGTTGATAATAATGTTTAAGTCTATTTCCGTGTACGAATTTGGCGTGGATTCCGTTTTGATCGGCGAGTTTGTAGGCTCCGTTGTTGAGTTTTTCGTGAATCCAATAAGGTCCATCCCATTTTGGGTCTAATTTACCAGACCATTGTTTGTCGCTTTTACTTCGATATACGAGAACTTTATCTCCGGTGTTATATTCTTTGTTCGGTGAGTTTTGGTCGTGGTGTTCTTTTTGTTTTTTCTGGGATTGATTAATGTTTATTTTAGCTTCTAGTCGTTTCTCGTTTAGCTGATAGATTGTTTCGAATGTCCGTTGATCCATAGCTTCTTGATAATTATCGTTCGTTTGTTCAGTATCGGTTGGTAATAGTAAGTCGATAGGTAACGTGGCTTTCTGTCCGTAGAGTAGTTCGAAAGGGGTAAATTTGGTGGTATCATGTTTTGCGGTTCGGTAAGCAAATAATGCTGCAGTGATGTGGTCGTCCCAGTGTGTCTTTGTTTGAATCGATAGTTTTGACAACGATTCACAAAGCGTTCGGTTGAATCGTTCGACAAGTCCGTTCGTCTGGGGGTGGTAAGGTGAGGATAATGTTCTTTTAATGTTCATTCGTTCGCAAAGGGCTTTAATTTTCTCATTAACGAAATGTGTTCCTTGATCCGTTAATATTTCTTTAGGACAGCCGTATCGGGAGATAATTTCTTCCTTGATAAATCTCTCAACATTTGCTGCGTCGGCCTTTCGAATGGCTTTAGCTTCGGGCCATTTGGTCAAGTATTCCACAGCTACAACAACGTACTGGTTTCTTCTTGCTGTTGTCGGAAGCGGTCCGACTATATCGATTCCTATCCTATCGAATGGTTTGGTTACCCTAATTGGGTTTAGTAATTCCGTTCGTTTGGGTCGTCCTCGTTGTTGGCAGATATCGCAGGTACGGATGTATTCCTTTACGTCGAATGTGATTTTTGGCCAATAATAGCGTTCTTTAATTTTGTTAATTGTTATGTTTTGTCCGAGATGTCCTGCGGTTTCGTCGGTATGTAGTTGTTGAAGGATAATGTCCTTTTCGTCTTTTACTATAACTCGTTTTGGTCTCTCTTCGTTTTGTTGATGATATAATTTTTCTTCCAATATCAGGTAATTGTTTTTGTACTTTTGTATGTATTTTTGTTGTTCGGGCGATAATTTCGCTAGTGTCGTTTGATCGTTAATATAATTTATCCAGATATTATATAGGTTTTGTTCCATGATTATAGTCAATGTTGTTTATTGAGTATGGGATTCGTCTGAATGTTGGGTCTTGTTCGATTTGGGGGAATCCGGGATAAAGCGTCAACGTTAGAATGTTTGCGGCCGGGTTTGTAAATAATTTCGAAATCGTACTCTTGCAGAATGGCAATCCATCGCATCGTTCTTCCGGTTGGGTTGGATTTGGTAATGAACCATTTCAATCCAACGTGGTCGGTTATCAGGTCGAATTTCTGTTCGAGCAAGTACTGTCGGAAGTACTTTACTGCCCATACAACTGCTAGGCATTCCATTTCGTGGGCTGCGTAATTTTGTTCGGCGGGCGATAATCCTCGGCTTGCGTACGCGACGGGTCGTTCGTTTCCGTCTGGGTCGAGTTGTGAAAGGATGGCGCCCAATCCAAGTTTCGATGCGTCGGTAGCGAGAATGAACTTCTTTTTAAAGTCCGGATATAATAATATTGGCGCGTGGGTGAGTTTCTCCTTTAATTCTTTGAATGCTCTTTCATGTTCTTCCTTCCATTCATAACGTTGATCTTTCTTTAATAGTTTATGTAATGGCTCAGCAGTATTAGAGAATCCTTGGATAAAGCGTCTGTAGTAAGATGCTAATCCTAGAAATCCTCGTAATTCCGTGATGTTCGTTGGCCGTGGGAATTCTTTTACTTTTTCTATTTTGGCGGGGTCTGGTCGAATTCCACTTCTTGTAATGACATGACCTAGGAACTCGAGCTGTTCCTTACAAAAGTGACACTTGTCAATGTTTAGGCGTAATCCGGCTTCTTGTAGTCTCTGGAATGTTTGTTCCAAGTGATCCAAGTGGCTTCCAAACGACGGTGAGTGGATATTGGTGTCATCAAGGTAAATGACTAAGAAGGTCCAAGCAAGTCCAGAGTACACCGTATCCATGAGTCGTTGGAAGGTTGCTGGTCCGTTCGTCACACCGAAAGGCATTACATTAAATTCGTAAATGCCTTGTTGAGTAGTGAAGGCTGTCTTTTCACGGCTATCTGGATCCATTTCGACTTGCCAGTAGCCACTTGCTAAGTCCAACGTTGAGAACCATTGAGATCCTCCAAGTGAATCCAATATCTCGTCGATCCGCGGTAATGGATAAGCGTCCTTTTTGGTTACGGAATTTAGTTTTCGATAGTCGACGCAAAATCGTAACTTCCCATCTTTCTTTTTTACCAAAACGACCGGCGACGTCCAAGGACTAGTTGACGGGCGAATTATACCGTTCTTGAGCATTCGTTTTATTTCTTGAGTAATGAATTCAGTTGACTTAGGAGGCGTCCGGTAAGCTCGTTGCCTAATTGGCATAGCATCTCCCGTGTCGATTTTATGTCGTATTTTATTGGTTTTCCCTGTTTCATCGCTGTTGGTTGCAAATAGGTTTGAATATTTTAATACTAGTTGATGTAATTGTTTTCGTTGCTTTTCCGTCACTTTTCCAATGTTAATTCTTGGTAAGTCTTCGGTTGTTAATGTGTAGGTTTCAGTTTTTGCTGTTATTCTCTGTTGCTTAGATGGTTCCGGTTTTATGTGGAAGTATTGGATCATGTCGTTCATGGAGCGGAAAGTTTGGAGCCATCGGACATCGTCTTCTAAGTAGCCAAGTATCGCTCCTTCTTCTAATAGGATTATTTGGTCTCTTTGATTAATTAAGGTAAGTTGGAGTTTATATCGTTTTCCGGGGGTTATGTATTGGTGATTACATATGACTCCATATTTTTCAAATAGTTCATAGTTTGGTTCGAATAAGAGTGGTTTGGAACTGATGGTTTCTTCGTTTCGACTTTCCCATACAATCATTCCATTAGGATAGATTGCGATGGTTCTTTCCAACAAAACGGGTGTTCCTCGGATGATATCGTCGCCGTTTTCTTCAGGTATTTCGGTTAAATTAATTATTTGTTTTGTCTTTCCGGTTGAACCTAATCCTTTTTGGTTTCGTTTGCTTGTACCTAATTCAGCGCGTGTTTTTACCGATGTCATTTCTTTAACTGGTAGAATAGGCAAATAGAGAGCTTGACCTATTCTTTCCTGGGGTATTATCTTGTAGTCTTTCTTCGATCCATTCTTTAGAATGATTTGCAGATTTCCGACATATCCGGTGTCTACAATTCCTCCTTCAACGGTAATTCCTTTCTTCGCAAGTGACGATCTTGATGCTAATTGCATCATACTGTTTTCGGGGACTTCCACCGCGATTCCTAGGTTGATTACGGTGGTTTCTTCGGGTGGCAGGTTAAGTGACTCTTTTCCTGGATAGTACAAGTCGAATCCAGCGTCCGTGTCGTGTGCTTTTGTCGGTAATCTCGCATTTTCTCCTTCGACATAACATTTAACTTTTCGTTCCTTTCCTTTTGGTCGTAAGGGTTGATATTTGTTTATTTCGGGCGGAATTGGGTCGTTGATTGGTTCAGCGAAGTATTGCTCTACTTCGTTAAACCAATCAGTTGTTTTTTGCTTTCTTGGATTCCATTCGTTAATTCCGTGGAGGGAATCAAACCAATCGACTGGTAATGGTATGGCTGGGCGTGGTGGTTGGTTTCTATAGGTAAGATAATCTGCTTCCATTTGATCGTACCAATCCGTTAACTCATTCCAATCTTCTCTTGGAATAGGTATTATTTCGGGGTAACAATCGTCACAATATTGTTCTTGACACGGCATTAGACATTCATCACATAGTTTAATCTTCATCCTGGCGAGTTCCTCTTCCTGTCGTATCTTGGTTGGTGCTAATCGCTGGTAATTTTCGTGGAAAATTCCTTGGTCATCAAGCCAGTCATAATCGGCGACTTCGTCGATGAAGGTATAGTACTCTTCATCTTTCATTTGGCGGATTTCTTCGATTGGGGCTTGGTTTATAAATTTGATGGCTAATTGCCTGACCCTTTCATTTTCTTCAGGTTCAAGACTCATTCGGTCGCATGCTCTCCAGAAGGCAGCCTGGAATGGCGTTCCCTGAGTACACCATCGCTTGATCAGATAAGCGTACTTGCAGTCTTGGTCGCATACTCCTCCTACGCCGGAAATGTCTTCCCAATCGTATTTCGTCGGCATTATCGTTTTACACAATAAACAGTTCGTTCCGTCCCATAATCCA